AATATTTTTATTTTTGGGACATCTTGTATATTTCAAAGCTTCGATAGATCGAGTTGGAAAGACAAAACCTTCACGCTCTTATACACGCATATAGCATTGTGACATTGCAATTATCGAGAGCGTAACAAGATACTTACGGTCAGCCTTGCGATCCCCGCAATGGACGGCCCAGTGATAGTTGCAGTGATCGTGCACGGCGCCATGCCCGTCGAAAAGTAATCCGTTCTCGCAGTACTCGAGGGTCAGGGTGCCGTTCGTGCAGAGGAAAAAGGCGTTGCAATTCTCTGGGTGGGCATACGCGAAAACTCCGTGAGGGTCGGGGCACGGTGGCGCCCCCAAAAGGGTAGTCGCCTTGACTATATGTCGAAAAAAATTGGAAAAAATGGTATAACATAAATCGTGTATATATTATAGAATTAAAAATATGTGTAATGAAAATTAAAAATAAAAAATATAATAGATAAAAATTAAGTATGAAAATTATTTAAAAACCAGGTTAAATTTATATTCTAAGAATTTGGAAAAAAAATAGTTTGAATATTAAAATATTGATATGCGTTACCTTGAGAGAATGGTAGAAGGAGCATGAGATTATATTTTTAACGAGCAAAAAGATAGAGAAAGCGAGTCAAGGTTGCAGACATTGAATGAAAACGAAAAAAAAAATGTGAAGATTTCGATTTGATAGCAAAAAAAGATGCAACGTCGAATCAACGGAACGCTTCGACGAATGGAAAGTAATCGTGATGGAGGAAGAAATAAGTAAAAACGTAATTTTGCGGAAACCGCAAATTGCTGGTGATCGAAGCTTGGAATGGAAAAATGCTACAAATTGCATTTCTACCAAATAAATATAGCCAGAAAAAATATATACAGCCAAAGAGAAAAAGTGTTATAGCAAAAGAGAAACTAACGTGTTTTGTCTACATTGATCGCGTATTTGAGATATTTTGTTGACGCGCGAAAGTAATATCTGTGAATATTGGCGTTTTGTTTATGTTCGCGTCTGTTACGTAGATTAGAAGAAGAGGAAGAATAGTCAGTCGGCCTTGGACAGCTTAATGGTTAGAGCAGTGTTGCCCGGGAAACGGAAGATCTGGCCAATCCAAACAATCGACTTTTTTCCTTCTATACATGGATCTTGAACAATTCAATGAAAATGAGCATCCGAATCATGAATATTCAACAAACACTAAGAGAAGAAAATTACGAATGTAAATATAAAATATTGAATCTCTTTCAAATTCTTTCAGGCGGTGTGACAGAGATAGCATTAAATACACAGATCGGAAAATACAACGAAGAAGATATAAAAATAATATTTAAAGACGAATAAAAAAAGCGATAGCGTGCCGTGCCGTCTGAATAGCGCGAACATGAATAATACATCTCTAGTAAATCGTGATCGTCGATGTATATATTCGTATAATATAACGAGGCATGCAAACTCGGTAGCAGTGATGGGAAAAATTTAAGCGATTCAAGTTACTTTAATGAATTATTCGAATAATTTATTCGACAATTGCGCTAGAAATATCGATCTGTAATATTTATACTTATCTATTTTCATATATAAATGATTATAATTAAAATGATATCATGAAAATAAATTACGTATATATAATAAACATTTCTATCTTATTAAATTGCAATATTAATTTTGTTAAAAGTCATATTTTCAATAATCGTAAAAAAAAAAGTATAAAATTTGAATGGTTCGATTGTTCTGGGGTATCTATGAATAATTTTATTCCAAATTTTAACAAATTAATTTTTCAATCAATTCTGCTAGGTAGACGGGCTCCGCCATTATATCATAGGTCGGTTCGACTCAACCATATGGCGAGAGGAGGTGAAAGCTATTGAAATTGTACAAAATGGATGTCGTAACTCGGGGGAACGATCGAATCGAGACGCCTGTCGGGATGCAACCCGGAGAGCGGTCGATGCGCTTCTCGAGACGCATCGCGGGGCATCCATTCGTAGAGGAGTAAGTTTCGTCACGAGGACAACTCGTCGAGGAATACTGGTGAAGGTGATCGATTCGACCGAGACAGAGAGAGAAAGAGAGAGAGAGAGAGAGAAGAGAGAAAAAAAAAATAGTTACCTGAGAGCAGAAAAGGCAGCAGGGCCAATAGGGTCACGCTCCTCCGATGCTCGATCATAGTGCTCGTTCGGTCTGATCCTCCACTCGGGTCGACTCTGACTACTGACACTTAGTTACCGACCTCGGAACAGAGAGCTTCTCCCTTCACTTGCTCGGTATAGTTGCTCTCTGGTTACCCCACCCGTGTACCATCGGTTCTCCGATTCGATTTCTTCGTGCGGCTTCGGTGAACCGAACCGAATGAAGCCGAGCGAGCTGAGATTTTGAGATCGATGATTATTTTGGAAAAACGAAACGAGGGAAAGGAAAATGTTTTTCTTTCGTCTGTCTTCGATAGAAATTTCGAAGGAAATTTTTTTTCTTTTACCTGTGCTCGATATTTTGGAGAAAAGGAAATTTTTTTTTTTTCCATTTATCTTCGATAGAAATTTCGGAAAAAAGGAAAATTTTTTTTTTTCGTCTATCTTCGATGAAAATTTCGAAGAAAGGAAAACTTTTTTTTTCGATGTCTATTTTCGATGAAAATTTTCGAAAAAAGGAAATTTCTTTTTTATCCATTTTCAAAAAAAATTTCGGGAAAAAACAAAGGGAAAAGAAATTTTTTTCTATCTTATGTATTTACTTATATAGCTATGAGATGAAAATTTTAAATGGTTGAAGAAAAAAGAAATTTTTTTTTTTTTCCTATGAAATGAAAATTTGAAACTTACCCTTTAAGCGCGATTTAATATTATAAAAAATACTTGCACAAGAAGAAGAAGAAGAAGAAGAAGAACCAGCTTTCACGTAACCGCATTGACATTTTGGAAAATTAAAAGAGTCGATAACCTATAGTTACGCCTCGCTTAGTTGCATGACAATCATCAAGAATTACATAACGGAAAAAGAAAAAGAGAATATTTTTTCCATCGTGGATCGTAAACGAAGCGATGATATTTGTTACTCGTTAAACATCTTAAAATTGAATCCGTTGATGAAATACCTTGATAATATGCAAAACTGGTAAATAACATGTTTTGTAACATCACGTAATTTCACATTTCCCTCTTGTTAACATTTTCATGCACATTCCTTAATTAACGCAAATTTATACACGTTGGTTATTCCAGTTTAATAATTAACTTGCATCAGATAATTTCGGTATGTTGATTGCTTGGATAATCGGTATCTCGATTATAAAATAATCAATACACGGTATGTCTCGGTATAACAGTAAAAAGTAAATCATAATCGATCTATTCTTCGATCTATTCGTAAAAAAATTTCACGCGATATTAGACTCGTTAAGGAGTTAATGCCAAAGTATATCCCCGACGGTTGTATTTACGCGTCACAACATGCATTTACGCCATTAGCCATTAATTACTCCATTAATCGATTCAATGGTTACAAAATCGTGAAACTATTCACACGTATTTCTTAACGACAAAGAAATAAAAATTTTGTAAATCTAATCCAACCAAACAACGCGCATATCATATATATATCCTTTCAATCTTTCAACCTATTCATAAATCTTTTCTTTCGTTTGTACAATCGCTGAAAGCGTCGTTATCCGCGTCAGTCAACCATTTAAAAACACCTCAGAGATGTACAATACGTGTATACATATATATATATATATATATATATATACGAACGTACTATACATACGAACACGATTTGTCCGATGCACAAGCGGATACATACGGTTATCCCTCGAGGCTTTGGCATTACGCAACGATCATACTTGGAGCAATGGCTCCCGTTCTTCGATGGAATCAGATCTGCTCCGGCATGGATAGTGAAAGCCGACGAGAATACCGCTCCACGTTATGAACCGGTCCGATAAACGAAAACGAATACGTCACGGTCACGTGACGTCTGATCGATGGCCAATCAAGCGGTTTCTGTCCAATACGTACGGGACGTATGTATGTATGTATCTTCGACGTTTTCCCTCGCAGAAACTCGACGGTTCTTCTTCGTTAACTAGTGGATCGATCTCGTTTGAGCAATATAATAAATTCGCTCATCGTTCATCCTTCTTGACGCGTGTACACAAGAGTAAGTAATAAATGTATTACGTAATGGAAGGGAATAATTTGAGAGTGATTCTTGAAATAAATAGAGTACGAAGAACACGGAGATTTCACAATTTTTCAACGGCGAAATAGGCTCGAAGGAGGGAATTGTTTCATCGGGCACATCGTAAAATTACGTAAAGAGAAAGGTTGCAATCAGAGGTTGAATTAAGCGAAATTGTTGAATTATTATAAGCGCTTTGTATTGTATTCAAACGGGATCAATTTTTCTTTTTTCGTGATTATTCAATGTCTCTTTGTATGTGCAATCAATCTGCCTGAAAAGAGAAACTGAATTATATATCTGGCAATAATTGAGCGAAACAATTTTTCGTTCTTCGTTAAGAAACGTTACGTTTAGAAAGATCACTTTTGAATTACATTCGATGTGATAATTGTCTTCAGAGGAAAAACACGAAAATATATGTTTTTCTATGGCAAATTTTTAACTCGTGGTTATTGATCTTTCTACGAGAACAAGCCGCAACGAAGTTGTCGGACGCAATAAATTTCTGTAACGTAGTGTCCGTTTACATAAGGAGAAAGGTATAATTATCGTGGGAGGTGTATGCAAAGGCTACTCA